CGCGTTTATGTTAACATTCATAGAGATGAGATCCAGAGATTGATGATAAGGTATTCCGCATCTTGACACAATCTCAATGGATCAAGTATTCTCTATAATCCATATGATCTATAATCTAGCGATGTTGATTTTCCTAGAATTGAAGCATGTTCTAGGATAATTGTTATTGAATTATATTATGCAATTATAAATTCCTACATTGTTGACTAACGTTTGCAAATAAAAAATTATTTTTGTATGATAAGAGCTTGTCGTTTGTCAATTGAGCTGAATTCGAACAAAAAAATAAACTTGTTTAGTAGTTGAACGAACACGAGTTGATCGTTCGATAGTGTTCACGAATATTATTTCAATATAATTTTATTGTAACTTTTATATTATCATGTATGAATTTTGTAACAAAAAGTATAAAATATGAAAATATTTTTATTTTTGAGCTCAAAGAGTTCGAACGAAACAAATTTTGTTTTAATCAAACAATTCAAAAAGTTTGTTTATTAAATTATTTCAATATGAACGAACTCGAACAATTAAACGAACAATCTCGATTACACATTTTTCCTCAAAAAAGGAACGAGTGAGCACGACAGTATTCGAACAATAACGAATACGAGCTACTAAGATTTGCTCGTTCATTATGATTACAACACGTGCTATGGGAACTTATTATTATTCTCGTGGAATATTAGTTATTTAGCTGCATGACTAATGTATTTAAATTTTTATTTTCTTCATACATGAATAGTATTTTTTTCTAAATATATTCAATTATAATTTCATAAAAATATATTGCTTATCCTGTCATTGAATTTCTCAATAATAATTGAGCCCCAAAAACTATGATCCCAATAAATAGTACACTCTGATTTTTGCAGTATTAAATATTAATATATTCTCTTTTAATCATGGCAGAAAACCTTGTAGCCCACTGGAATATCGTGAGTGACCGTGACAGAATTATTCTGATAGTTACTATATATAGATATTCTACTTTATAATGTTGCTAAATTTCTCAGAATGAAAATCTCGCCCACTGGATTTGGAGTGGAAATTAGATTTTTTTTTTGGGGTGATTTTTAATATTTTAACGTTGAAATGTGATTTTTTATTCAATGGATTTTTCATTTTTATAGTTATGTTTGGACATTATTTTATTAAACATATGTATTTTTTTTTTTATACAACTCAATACTTTTTACAAAACATATATAAGTAAAAGTATGATAATATTAGAAAGTTCTTTTTTTTTAATAGATAGACATAATTAGATACACATTAACATATTTTAACATATAAATAAATAAAAGTATGACAAAAATATAAAAGCTTCATTAACCTATTGTTGGAGCTCCAATTGATGATTGAAACATTTTATAACAATTTCATTAATATGAAGCATTTTACGACATAATATATAATCTTGTTCAATAATAATGACCATCGATCTAACAATTTGATCATCTAACAACAACATTGCAAATTTAGCATATATTTTTTTATATTGATTTGCCAAATATACACACATATACATTCCTATTGGTAATTTGATAGGTTGCCCTGCTTCTATAAAGATATCACATTACAATTGAGACTTCACTAAAAAAACCCAAAAGCAACAAAAAAATCCAAAAAAACTAGAGCTGTTCTGGTCATTTTATTCATAACCAACAGGCTTTAATTAAAACAATCACCTAACTCAAGATTGAAAAAAAAAAAAATGATTTCTTATAAAATTGAAATGTGACCGAAGATTACTATTATAAAATTGCCACTAAAGTTTACATATATAACATCAAGACATGACAGTGACAAATTATCTGTTATAAAATTGATGAGATGTGACTGAAGATAATTATCTCTTAATTGCTCTTTAATTAATTGTGAATTATTAAAATAAACGTGACAGGAAGTCATCTCAATCTCTCATCAATTCTCGTAATCCTCCTCCTTGTGAAAGTAAGTCAAGAATTCGAGTCTATAGTGGGCCTTGACCAATAAATAAAAAAAGATACTTATTTAAGAAAATCAGACACTGGGCCCATCCTACACAATAATTTTGTTTTAATCTTTACCCATTCAAATTGGGTCCCCCAGCTGTATAGTACGGCCCACATATTCCTCCCAAGCTCACCCAAACTGTTAATTTATACCAATCCAATTTTTTTACTAATTTTTAAAAATAGCCCCTTAATTTTTACATTTATTTCTGTATGAACTATTATCTTAGGTATAAGAGCAAGAGAAGGGGGTCCACACAGCCTCACAGTTTTT